GCATACATATTCATTAGAAATATTGGTCTGTAATTTTCTTTCTTCTTTTTGTAGTACTCTTGTCTAACTTAGGAATGAGATAATGCTTGTCTTATAAAATGAGTTTGGAAGTGTTCCTTCCTCTTTAAATTTTTAGGATAGTTTGAGAAGGGTTGTTGTTAATTCTTCCTTAAATTCTTGGTAGCCATGTTTCTGTTTTAAAAACTATTGACACTTAGGATTGGCTTTTTGGCGTATTGAAGACCTTGTAATCCTGATATGCTAAACCACATTATTTAGAAGACTTATTATAATATATTCTCTTCAAACTACCAAGGTTGAGGAATGGGATTATCAAAATGTGTGGCTAATGGAAGCTATGTGACTTAATAATATGAATAATCTCCTGATAACTAAGAGAACTAAATGCTTTTCTTATAACAACTGTGTTAGTATTTAGTCAGTACATTAATGTCTGGCAACACTTAAAGATGTACTGTCACTTACTTGCTTGCTCTTTGACCTTTGTCAATTCGTTTAACCTTTTTGGGCATAATTTTCTTCATCTATAAAATGGAAACAAAATCATTTCTACTTCATAAAGGTGATATTAAGGAATATGTAAAACAATACATGTCAAAATATCCTATACCTATGTGAGATTATTTTTTATTATCTTGCTATGGTTGAAGTGTTAGAATTTCAGATTAATAGAATCATAACAACAGGATTTATTTTCACTGAGATTTTAGGTTAGTAAGGAAAAGGTGGGATCATAAGCTAATAGATGTCTATACTTGAAGTACTGTTTTCAAAAATGTAAGGTTTGCAAATAATTGATTTGGCTTAGAAAATCCACATTGCTCGACCCATAATTAGAAGTTTTCATTCATCTTGCTTTAGAAGCCATCTTGCCACCACAGCATATTTCATGCTGTGTTTCTGGCAAAGATTTCATGACTCAATTTGGAGACATTTGAAGATTCACGGTCGGGCGCGGTGGCTCACGCCTGTAATCCCAGCACTTTGGGAGGCCGAGGCGGGCGGATCACAAGGTCAGGAGATCGAGACCGTGGTGAAACCCCGTCTCTACTAAAAAATAGAAAAAAATTAGCCGGGTGCAGTGGCGGGCGCCTGTAGTCCCAGCTACTGGGGAGGCTGAGGTAGGAGAATGGCGTGAACCCGGGAGGCGGAGCTTGCAGTGAGCCAAGATTGCGCCACTGCACTCCAGTCTGGGCGACAGAGCGAGACTCCGTCTCAAAAAAAATAAAATAAAATAAAAAAATAAAAAATAAAATGAAGATTCACAAAGCCCATTCGTATTTTAAAGATTCTGAGAATCTTAAGAAAGAAACCTGAAACGAATATTTCCCTAACTTACTTGACATGAAAAATCCTTTTAAAGAGAGCATCTATTAACATTCTTTGCATCTAATATCCCATACCACCTCAAGTTCATGAGCTCCAGAGGTGGACTGCCCTTGTTCAGATCTCCGTTGTGTGACCTTGGGCTAATTACGTAACTCTCTACACCTCAACACTCTCATCTGTAAAAGGGGGACAATGATATTTATCTCATAAGCTTGTTAAATGCGGTAATATATTTTTAATACATGTTGTTTAATGGGACAGTGTATGTAAATTATGAAATAACATATTTTAAGATAGGTCAAACCCTGACTGTGGTGGGAATGGGAGGTGGGAGCAGGCTGGAAGCACTCGCAGGCGAGTGGCCTTCTCTGGCCTTTAACTCCCCAGTGAAGGTGACAGCAGGGCCTCTTTGTAATCGAGTCTCCCCTTACTGTAAAGCATGGGTCCTTGTTCTTCCCCAAGGCAGCTGTATTCCCTCCTGTTCTTAGTCTCTGAACTTAGGGTCGCCTGTTCAAATGCGTACATGGACCAGGCAGGGGATGCCCACATGTTAAGGGGCCCAGGGTGACAGGCAGGGGGAAGTGGTATGGGTTGCGGGCAGCAGGGCATTGCCAGCCTCTTCTCTACAGGACCACGCTGTGGCCTCCTGGAAGCCCAAGGCCAATCTGCCTTGACTTTTATTTTTTAAAAGGTAAGTTAGAAATCTGGAAGATGTAAACTTTCCTGATTTTCCTGTAGACAAATTGTTCAGAGTAAAACACAAAGCAGCACACGGTTTGGCCCATGAGCTGTCAGTTTTGCAGTGTCTGCGTATAAAAGCAAAGTCCTAGGGACCTCTGCTAATGGGCTCCTGGCAGCTGCCCTCTCCCTCCCCTGCCAGCTTGCTCACCTTTTAGCTTTGCTCTGACCTCTCCCCTTTCGCCTTGCTAAAAAGAAAGAAAATCCATGTCTTCTGTTCAACCAATGGGTTCCGCTGGTTCTGCCTACTGGGCCTCTCTTTCCATCACAGGACTCCTTCTCCAAGTACTTCCTAACCAGTAATCGCCATTTATTTCATTGTCCACTAGGCTCCAGACTTGCTAGGTTCTTTCGCATGGAATTCTTTGTGGGGATCCAGCTGCCTCATCTGTGATCCCCAGGCAGCCTGACATTACAGGCTTCAGTTCTGTTTTCATCCTAAGGCCATGCCTGCCTGTTTCTCTACCCCTTTCTCTATATTCACATCATCGCCATAGGCGATCAGCTCTTTGGAACCATTTTCCAGGAATTAGTACTCTACGAGAGGGAACCTTTCCTGATAGTCTTTCTTGACAGTTTTAGGTTAGTCTTTACTATGTTACTCCTTTAGACTTAGACAACTGGCCCTCCATGTCCCACCTCCACGGTGATGAGTGTGTTTCTCCACTTCTCAAGGAACTGCAGCTCAGATACCTTTATAATCCCAAGGCCTGTCACACAGCCTCGTCTGTAGGGAGGGGGTGGTAAAAAGCCAAGGAGCTAGAGCCAGCTCCCCTTCTCCCAGGTCCACCAGCCCCAGTTCGGCTGCTTCCTAACTTAACCTGGGGCAACTTTCTTAGCCTCACTGTGCCTCGGTCTCCTCAGCTCTGATGAGGGGTTGGTGTGAGGATTAACAGAAAGCCCCAAGACAGCACTTGGCAGGTAGCTAGAGCTGCATAAATATTGACCCTTAGTGGTAAAATTAGTATTCATGTGGCAGTTTTGCAGTACATGCTCATCAGAGGACAGAGCTCAGGAAACTAGTTTGTCTTTGGCAGTAATCTTCTCTTGAACAATGTAAGAATCATATTTTATTTTGAAGACAGCAAGAACCCCGTAGCTTCGCTTTGACAGTGCCGTGTTTTTCAGAGCCTGCTCGATCTGCACACTGAGTGCGGCTACCTCTGCAGAGGCGCTGGAACGCAGCAGCCTCACTGCAGTGATTCCTTAAGTGCTGGATGCAGCACGTTGCAACCTGCCGTATCTGGGAACGCCAGTGGTATCCTGCTAAGAGTCTGGATGCTGAGACTGGACACAGATAAGGAGCAAAATAGCTTATGAAAATAAATGCTGAATATATAACCTTTTGGTAAATCATTTCCAAGTAGATATTTTATTTTTCTCTATTTTATGGATAAGTATGTGTCAACTAGCTTTTTGTGCATAGATGCAGAGCACATTAAAAAATTGAATATTCCATACATATAAATGAGCTGCTATATTCTAGTGATTAGAAGCATAAACTTGGATGCCGAGCAGAGAGCGTTTCCATCCCCAGCTCCACCGTGCGTCGCTATGTGACTGCACAGTCACTTAACTGCAAGTTACAGTTTCTCCATCTATCAATTGGGAAACCCATAAGGACTTAACTCCTAAGGTGGTTTTTGAAGATTATATATCAAAATGTACGTAAGGTCCTCAGTTCAGTACCTGACATACTCTAAGTGCTCAATAATGTTAGATAACATATTTGAAGTTGATGGTGCTGCTGGACTGGGTCTCAGTGCAGGCACATGTGATAGTGAAGAACGTTCATAGATGACCAGTAGCCTTTTACTGAGTGAGAGAAACACATTGCATGAGGCTGGAGCAGTGCTTCCCCATGCTCCGTATGTGTCTAAGTTCTCTGTGGAGCTTTTAGAGGAGACCGATGCCCAGCACTGTTCCTGGAGATGTAGATTCACTTGCCTAGAGTCTCAGGCACCCAGCCAGCCCGACTGAGAGCCCTTCGGCTCCAGCACAGTGCTCCACAGTTACTGAGGTCATGGCTACCAGCTGTACCTTGGTGTCATCTAGCACAGAGGTGTTCGTTGTTTTAGGAGGGACAGGCTGGGAATCTGAGCATTCATTCAGATCCGTCCCCATCTCTGAGAAAAAGATTCCCAGCATAGCATCTGTTGATATGGACTTGAATAGGAAATGGGCCTCATGCACTATTCACATGCCTGTTTTACCCCTCAATCCCATATGTGCAGTCCTCATCCCAGTAGACTTTATATTAGTCAATGGAAGAACAGCTTTGTCCATTGTAATGAAGCTGGCCAGCACTTTAATTTTTTGAGGGAAGATATATTTTGCTCCACTTTTGCATTTGGCCTATCATGTCTTATGTTATAAACATTTCTAGGCCTTTCCCTTTCTCTAAATTTCAAACTCCTCTTGAAGAATACCTGTGTCTTACTTATTTTAAATTTCCTAACAACTCATTGCTTTGCACATTGTAAGCTTAGAGTGAAATTTCTGGGAAATGGATTAACCATGAGAAATTACTAAGCAGTCATGGAGATGAGCTGTGAGAATGTATTCTGGTGATGTGGTGTAAATTATCCATATCAATCACATATAAAAAACACGTCGATCTAAGAAAATAAATATGAGTGCAACATTACACTTTCACAATAAACCCAGACTTCTGTTTATTGGACCTTCGGGAATGGATGAGGGAATCTTTTGGTGTTAATGCCATTGAATCTTGGGTAAGAAAACCCTATCATTTCATCTTTTTTGACAAAGTTATAAATTAATTTCCTGGAACTTAGAGAAAAGAATACCGTACTTAAATGAAGTTTAGATATCTGAGAGTCACACTAAGGTCGAGTAACAAACAGCAGGAACAAGGGAAAACACTAGAACCAAGTGCTCCTAGATGAGGTGGTCAGCTTTCTGTATTTGAGAGTTGATTGAATATGAGAAGAAATCTTATGTCCCCTCCACAACTTAACTCAGCTTCTCTGAGCACACCTGTGACCACCCTGTTGGATTCTGTGGGGAAGATCACAGAAACACAAGACGTGACTTCTGCTCTCACGAGGTTTGCCTCTGGCCTGAACGCCTCCTCGAGCTGTAGGCAATCCAGATGCCTGCTGGCATGTCCACTCAGATGCCCTGTGTGTTTCACATTCGACATACTAAACCTCGTTCATCTATACCGTGGCATGTGGAGCTTGAAGGAACCTCGGCTTTACCTCCCAGCCTTTGCTGATGGAATATTGTTGCCAGACCCATTTCTTCTTGCCCCGAGGATCCTATCCCTTTCCACTCCTGCCATTATCCAATCATCAATTCACGTAGCCCCTCACTCTACGATCCTCCCAACAGATCATGATTGCACCTTGGATTCCCATAGTACTGTGTTTGTACTTCATTCCTTAAATTAGTGTAACCGATGTTTAAATTAAATATTTAAATTAATTTAACCCATACTTACTTCGCCATCACTTGGTAAATTTCTTGTGGAAAAAGAGTATCTTTCTAATCTTCTGTGCCTTTCGTGTTTCTTCGCACATGGTGTTCTATACATATCTGTTGAATGAATGAGTGAAGAGAAAAGGAAGACTGTCTAAGATGGGTCAATTGATGCCGAAGTGTTTGCAGACAGTACATTTTGTAGATGCTCGTATTTTTATATTGCTGCTCTAGCCTTTTAAAATATGCCGTATTTGGCCGGGCGTGGTGGCTCACGCCTGTAAGCCCAGCACTTTGGGAGGCCAAGGTGGGAAGACTGCTTGAGCTCAAGAATTTGAGACCAGCCTGGGCAACATGGGAAAACTCCATCTCCACAAAAAAATTCAAAAACTAGCCACACATAGTGGTGTATGCTTGTAGTCCCAGCTACTTGGGAGGCTGAGATCAGGGAATCACTTGAGCCCAGGAGGTTGAGGCTGCAGTGAGCCGTGATCACAGCACTGTACTCCAGCCTGTGTGACACAGTGAGACCTTGTCTCCAAAAAACCAGGAAAAAACAAACAAAAAAATCACAAGAAGAAAAAACAAATCTGCCATGTTTACTTTGATTGGTTCAAATCTTTAAGAGATACAGCCTCCACTATCACTTGTAATATTTTAAATCCCTTGAAAACAGTGGTGCGATCTTACAGTGGAAAATTCACCAACCTACCAACCCTGAAATAGACTGAGCCTCTGCCCCAGGCTTTCTTTGTTTATTGGATTTATCTAGTGCCTTTGCTTTAGAGCTGAGAGGACATATGCTATTCACCTGGAGAGATCCCGTATTTCAAAACAACCAGTAGCCAGTAAGAATGGGGAAGACAGCAGACACTGCCTCTGATATTGACATATCCTACTTTGTCTACCCTCGCTTTCCCTTAGGAAAGAAATGTTTCATATTCACAGCACAGTCAGTACTCCTTGCCTGCCACCAGGCCCGGAGTGAGAGAAGCCCAGAAAGGAGGACCTAGCAGGTACCCAGACCTCTTGAAGTCACAGCTGATGGCGTGAGGGACCGACCATCCATCACACCGGGCCACACAGCACCTGGTCGCAGCCTGCTCGTGGCCCCGCCTCTTAAGGCAATGGGTTCTTCTTCTCTCTCTGCCTCATCTCACAAATCTTCCCTCTGGCCCTCACCCTCCTCCCATCTCTGCTTTCTGCCTTATCTCCTTGTCACAGTACTAGAAAGGGTGAGCCGACCAAAGCCATCCTGAGCACTGCCGTGGTTCTGGTTCATTAGCAGCACACAGAACAAGTGAGGAGGGGTGGACAGAACAGACAGGATCCTGCCAACCATGAGTGAGTAACAAGCGTATCCATGCAAGGTTTTCCAGCTCACGCGAAGCCGTGTCTCTTGGAAGCTTACCCCTATAGCTCCTCCATGAAGGAACTGCACCTCCCGCCCCTCAGCCTCTGCTGGCACCTTTCCAAACACAGAGGTGCTCCGCCGTACCCAGCAAACAGTTATCTTCACAATGCAAGGACGAAGTGATACCTGTAAGAGGAGGTGCAGCAGAGAAAGCTAGAGAAAATGTTGCAGAGAAACCCCTCCAACTGAATTGACGAGCCAGTAGTCGTCTTTTTATGCCCATCCTCTTCCACCTCCCTCTCCACAAAAATAAATAAATTAAAGAAATTCAGCACCTGTGGAAAACTCTGCCAAGAGGAAATGACCTCCTGTGTGGTTTGTCAGATTCAGGTTCTTCACACTTTCCATGGGAACAAAGGCTGTCTACATATTACCTGTCAAGTGAGGACAATGGTGAGACTCTGCAAACCATTTTGAATCCTTGGGTTATTTGGGGAGGAAGTTATTGAAAAAAAAAAACAGCCTGTAGGAAAATGTTGGATTCTATTTTATTCAGGCTCAGGCTGAATTTTTTCTGGCATTTCAGGGCATTGGAGAAGCCTTGGGGACAGGAGGACAGTGGGAGGGTCCTGTGCCAGTCAGAGTGCAGGGCTGTGCCTTCTGGCTCATTGCTATTGCTCAAACACAATTCATGATGGCCCCACAGGGTAGCAGGTGGCTGGACACACAGCACTAAATCCCTGGCTAAGGATCTGTGAAAGGAGTATTTCCATGTGGCAGGCGTGGGAACAGGCCCCTCCAGTCCTGTTCCGTACTCCTTCACCCTTCCTGACATTCATTCCCAGGTCCCTCACCTGGCTGGAGTTCTCTTCGGACATGCTGAGTATTTTTTGAGAATGGAAGGGGAAGAAACTTGAAGGCGTTAGGCCTAGGATCTTTTCTTTGCAGGGACGGGGATCCTTCAGTGTAGGGCCTAGTACTTGGAGAGTGTTTTCTTGCTGAGTATTACGAGAGGAGAGTTGGTACCTTTGAAGTTTCCCTCAGTGAGCAGAGGATTCGTGCCTGAAGCACCTTTGTTATTCCGTGAGCAGCTTATCCACACCCTTGTTCCTGCAGTTCTTTGTTCAAATTTATGTTGTGAATTGGTTTTTCTGTGTTTTCTTTCCGTACTTTATTAGAATCTGGTGTGATAATAGGGGTAGAGACCACAGTCTTCTTGATAAATGTGTTTCTCCCTTCCTTCTTTGCCATATCGGTGAGGTCCAGGCAGGAGACAGAAACCATGCCATTTGTTTGGTTTTTAATACAGAGAATTTAAACTAAAGACGTGTTAGCCTTTGAGGGAGGTCATTAAGAAGTCAAGAGGAGAATGTGGAGGTGTCATGGAGGTAGATGACAGAAAGCGTCTCCCCACTCTGGGGCTGAGGGAACAATTGAAGAGGCTGGAATTAATGAAACTTAAAAACCTCAGTGGAGGGTCCTTCAGAGCTAAGGCCCAGACCCCCAAAGAGGAGGACAAGCCAAGCAGGTGTCTCTGAGCTCAGAGGAGGGACCCGTGGGGCTGGGACCTACCTCCAAGGAGAGGGGCTGCACTGGCAGCCCTGAGGGAGGGGTGCGATGAGGCTGATGCTGTGATGTTGGGAAGACTGTGATGGGAATGAAGCCTCTGCTCCTGGCTGCCAATGTGTAGGAGCCATGTTGCTGAGCCCCTGACAGGAACAGGAAGCCAGCAGAATGGAGCCAGCCCCTTCTCCTCTGTCCGGCCAGCAGCCTTCCTCCAGGGCCAACTGGAGGCGCTTCCCAGGGAGCCGCTGGCCAGGTTGAAGTGCATTGAAGTGCAGTTATCAGAGTCCAGCCCAGTCTCCCACAGCAGAGTGCGGGAAGCAGGTTTGGAGCTGAGAGGCCACAGCCTAATGACTGCTTTGTTAGCCCAGAGCAAAGCCAAAGTCCCTTTCTGTCCTGTAACTTTGAGCCCTGCACTTTCTCTTGCTGTTTCTTCCTCTCTAGCTCTGAGTTTGACCCTTTAGCTCTTCAGAGAAAAGGTCTAAAAGACCCTCAGCATTTCCAAGTGTCCATTTTATAATCCCTTCATGCCTTCCGCCTAGGAGGTCTACCCCTTAATCCTTTGACGTGTACCTAAGGGGAAATGACGTCTCAGCTGAACCGCCAATCATGCGCTCTTTCTGACGGTTTTTCTCCGATGGCCCTTCCTCCCATTTCCTGCGTCCTGGTACCGCAGCCAGATCGAGGCTGGTGAAACCAGAAATCATGGAAGAGAGCCACAGGCTTTCTAATTCAAGTCCACAGATGTTAGTTATTTCCACTGTGTGCCAGGCGCTATGGTTGATAGAACGAGGGAGAAAATGTGATCCCTGCCCTTACACTGCCATCAGGTGACACAAACAGAAATGTAAACTCTTCCCCAGGTTACAGACTGGGATGGTCATTGCCACAGCTTGAGGAGGTGGGAGAAGCAGATAGATGTGAACTAAATTGTAGTTGGCCATGAATGGAAGAGCAATAAAATAATAAACACATCTATATTTACTATATGCTTTACCAATACCGACACCTTTAATCCTCACTGGCAACGCCACGACAGATGACTGCAATGATCCCCCTTTTGTAGATGGGACATTGGGCGATTAAGGAAACGCCAAAGATCACAAAAGCTAGCAAGTAGCAGAGCTGAGTTGTAGCGGCTGAGTGACCTCCCCCTTAGACTTCGTTTGAAGATGAGATAAAGTAACAGTGCCTGGCAAGAGAAAACGGGTAGTTAATTATACCTTACCTTGTATGGAGTTTTGTAATTTATAAGGGTTTTAAATATGTTACCCTATTTAATTTTCATAATAATTCGATGAGGTAAGGATGTTAGTCTTATTTTGTAGGAGTCTACTGAAGCTAAAATAGGAATAGAGATGGTCTCTAAGAGACAGGAGAGGCGCCACCACCATTATACGTTCAGCATATTCAGGGAGGCCGTCAGGAAGAGGTGATGCTTTGTTGGGTGTGCTGTGATTTCTGGCTGAACAGGAGATTTGGGAGTCACACACACGATAGTTTTTGGAGAAAAGAAGACATCCCTAAATTTGGTTTCCTGGCTAGTGCTATGTATGGAACCATTATCATTCATTTTGCATAAGGGAAATTAATCATTAAAGGGCTTAGAATGTTAGCTCTTAATTGATGGTTTTACTTGTTCATAGCCTCTGCGACATTGCATAGAATTTATTTGATGGAACACTAAAAAGCTACTTTTCCAGATATCAAATAGTTAATATTCTTAAGCCAGCAAGAAGCCCGTGGTCATTTTGAGAAACAGGAATAGTGATTTGAGTGGAGGTGAGATATGAGGTAGCCTGCAAGTCGGATGTGAATGCCCCTGCCAGGTTCTCTTCTGGCCTCTGGTAACCAGTGGAATCCAAAATTTGGGTTGCACTTGGTCTTTTCTGTTTACAATGTAGGAAGGACAAACTCACTTATAATCTTTGTTAGGTTTCCCCTGCCTAACTTGGTTAAATCCAGCATGTCTCAGAGGTACTTGACAATGGCCCAGGGTTTTCACGGTCCCCCTCATGACACACTGTGGGACAGTTTTGGTCAGATGACAGTGTGTGAGGTGCTGAGCACCCACTTTTGCAGATGAGGAAACCTGGATGCAGAAAGCTGACAGTTTGTGCCTGGTCAGGGAGAAGCAGGCCCAGCCCTGGCACTGCTGCCCTAGACGGTAAGCAACTGCTCCAGAAAGCACTCAGTACCTTTTTCTTCTCCCTGCTAAGTTTGGCATTTGACCCAACAGATGGCCAACAACTTGTAAATATTCACCCATGTTTTGTTATTTGAATGTGCTGATCATACTGAGACTTTTACTTGCTGGATGGAAGGTGTGGCTATCTCTGGGAAGGGGAGAGTGACCTGACCCCTTGAGGGCTTTGAACCATGTTTGCCAAGACGGCTGGGTCTGCTTCTGCTCCTAGTGCACAGTGCCACATTTTGCACTTGCCACGTCTAAAATTCCCTTTTCCCCTCTGGCCTATGAGCTCTTGGGAAGCAGGGAGGAAGTCTCAGTGGCTGAAGCAGCCATCGCAGGCAAGACATATCGCAGCGCCTGACGTTCTTTCTCTGGTCTGATGTTTGAGTTCTGCAGGCCACCGCCAGAGCTCGGAACCGGCCATTTCTCCAGCAGCACTCCGTATTCACATCACTCTGCTAACCAAGGCATCACAGCGGCCCCCTGTGAACCTTGGTGTAGACTTTGTTGCACTCATTTGAATTTGGTACGACAGAAAATAACATTCACATTTCTCCCTAATGTGGAGAAATTGAACTCATTGTCTTTTTTGTTGAAGTATACTCTAATATTAACAGGTGGAATTTTATTTTAATTATGGAAAAGCCAATTTTTAAAAACATGCAAATGCATAAACTGTAGCCAGTGTTTCCTTCCATTACATAATTTCTCTAGGTCATGACTCACATTGATATCCTTTGTCCTTTAATTTTCTATATCTAGTACTTGATATTTAGAAAATACATGCTATGTTTAAATTATACAACATAATAATACAGCAGCTACCCATGAAGCCACCACCCGACCTGTGATCAATCTCACCGGTCCCTGGGGTCCCATGAGTTTTCTTCTCCATCCTGTCTGCCTGCCACCCCTTTCCTTGCCCAGAGCAACTGCGATATTTTCTCTTAAAAAGTTAGGTGAAAGATGGGGCCAGAAGACTCACGCCTGTAATCCTAGCACTTCGGGAAGCCAAGGTGGGAGGATTGCTTGAGGCCAAAAGTTCAAGATGAGGCAAGGCAGCATAGTAAGACCCTGTCTCTGCAAAAATAATTAGTCAGGCCTGGTGGTACCTACCTGTAGTTCCTGCTGCTCTGGAGGCTGAGGCTGTAGGATCACTTGAGCCCAGCAAGTCAAGGCTGCAGTGAGCTATGACTGTACCACTGCACTCCAGCCTGGACGACAGAGGGAGACCTTGTCTCCAAAATAAATAAATGAGTAAGTAAATAAATAAATAAGTGGTTATGTTTAGCTTGTTTGTCTTCTCTCCATTTCTACCCTGTAATTGAGAGTTGATGTGAGACTATTTTCTGGAAGTATCAATCAATAAATGTTTTCAGAAGTCATCAACTCAACATAGCCACTTTC